CCCCCAGGGCACCCCCCAGCTTCCTCGGGGACCAGTGATCAGGAGGGACGCTCCGTCCCTCCCCTCCTCCGCAGCCACACAGGAGCGGGCCTGCGCCGCAGCCGGGAAGAACTGGCCGTCCATCCTTGTCCGTCTGCCCACGGCCCGGCTCAGCCGGAGGGGGAAGCGCCCCACCCTCCTCAGGACAGGGTGGAGCCGCTGCCGGAGGAAGTAGCAGGGGGTGGGGAGCGGGTTCCCCTTCCCTGAGTTCCGATTACTCGAGGGAGGGGCCGGAAGGGTCCAGCATCCGAGTGTCCAGTCTCTCTGCGGCCCAGTCCGACCTCTCACACCCGGCCCCTCCCTCCAGCCCCACCGAAGGCGGATGCGGCCACAGCCCTTGGAAGGGACCGAGTCCAGGCTCAGCAAGTTGGAGCCACTGCCCCGAGGCCACACAGCCTGCATTCCAGGGGCTCACAGCTCTGGGGTTCCCAACATGAAGCCACGGCCAGGAAAGGTATCCCCACCCCCTCCTCTCAAGGTGAACCTCCAAATTTGACCTGAGCCACACCTGCCAACACGCCCCACCCCATTCCAGCGGGGGTCCAATCGCAGTTCTTCGAGTACTAATTATTCCAAGAGGGTCAGCCAGGCGCCTTCCCTACTCTCTGTCCCTGAAAGCACCCCCTCACCCCCACCCCCTTCCGTGTCGCCCTCCAGAAAACAGGATGGATAGTGAGCAGTGCAAATGCCATGTTCCTATTAGGGTGCTCCCCCTGGTGTTCGACACTGGAAGTGTTTGAGCGGAGCCTCCACACCGGAGCAGCAGCCCCCAATGTCGGTGGACATTGTCAGGTGTCATCGCGTCGGCTCCAACCGCAACCGACAGCCACCTTATGCACAACAGAACAAAACACTACCCAGCCCTGCGCCATCCTCCTCCTCATTCCAGTGCCCCAGCCACGGGGTCCATCCATCGCTTCCAGGGCTTGACTCACTGCCCCTCCAGTTGACCAAGCATGAGGTCCTTCTCCGGGGACTCTCTCCGGACCACATGCCCAAAGCATGTGAGACGGAGTCTTGCTTCCCAGGAGCATTCCGGCTGTACTTCTTCCCAGGTAGATCAGCTTATCCTTTCGGCCGTCTGTGGTACTTTGAATATTCTTCTCCGGCGCCACAATTCAAATGCTTCAATTCTTCCCGAGTCAACTGTCTCCGGCAGCGGGGGCAGTGGAGAATATCACGGCTCGGCTGTCGTACAGTTGCCGGCAAGCCGATTCTGGCCCGTGTGACCGCAGATGTGCAGGGTAGAACTGTGCTCCCTGGGCGGTCAGAGTGGATACCCAGGCTTTTCTGCGAGGTGCTTGTGGGTGGCTTTGAACCACCAGCCTCTGGGCTAGTCATCAAGCCATGCAATCCTGGGATGCCGGATCCTGGCTTGAAGCCCCAGAGCCCAGGCTTTAACCTGGGTGTTCCTGAGGACGTGGGTGAGAGCCAGGACAAGGCCAGGGGCCTGGAGGAAGTGAGGGGGAGGGTAAAGCCAGAACCTGGGAGGAGAAAGGGCACAAGACATGCCCCCCTCCCCCCGCCCCCGCCCCAGCTACACTGCCAGAAACCGGCCTACCTGCCCCCAAACACAGGGCGATCAGGACAAAGATTTCCCAGGAACCAAGGTTGGCTCGGAGCTCAAAGTCCTGAGATGCTGGGCTCAGGCCAGCGATCGATGTCTCAGACAGCAGGAGGGGGCGGGGTTTGATGGGCTCTGGGCATCAAGGAGTTTCCCCGTCTGCCCGGGCACTGCCCCACCCCCAAAGGAAGCCCTCCCCTCCCCACCAAGAGGGAAACAGTCCCCAGAGACCACAAGAGACCTGCTGAAGAGCTGAGGTCATTTCTTTACTGGTAGCACCTAGGGGCGCCACTTGGCCGAGGTGGGTCCTCAAGCTTCATGGGTGGGGGTGCGGGTGGGGGGCCCGGCCAATAGTCACCAAGCAGCGAGACAGAAATCAGGCAGTGAGTCAGAGGTATGCAGCCATGAGATTGTGGGGACCTTGGGACTGCTCCTGGGAGTGGGGGGTGGGGGAGACGATGTAATAGTTGTGGGAGACACTAGCCCACTTCATTCAGGGCCACAACTCTGAACCCCAGGTCCAGCCATGTCCTTGGCAGGGACACGGGGACATCCCCGGGCAGCGGCCTGATGGAGGCGCTGGAAGTCCTCACATAGCTGTGTTCTTGGCCCTCTCCTGGTTTGAGGGCTCCCCGTTCTCCTCCAGCTCCAGCCCCAGGTTGGTCTCTCCATCCTTCTCGGCCTTTTTCTCCTCGCTGTCCTTCTTTCTCTGCTTCTCACTCTTTTTTTGGCTGGAGGGATGCAAAGGCCCGGGTCAACACAG